TATGAATAAATAATGACCGATCCCTGAGGCAAAAACGCACCTGCTTCATCTGTAGTCACGTACTGACATTGGCTTCTGTTGCTAGCGGTGGTATTTGTGAACGAGGAAAGTTCTAAACAGTAATTCGTAAACGGTTTCAAATTCGTTAAAATTGTTGATAAATTCCACTCAGGGCAGAGAACTATATGGATACTTAGAGACGAGTTGCCTTCCCAGTAGCTTACTCTGTATCCTGAAATATGGTTGCTTGAAGACTGATTGTTTCTCCAGCCAACAAGAATGGATGAGGAGCTTGTGTTGTAGGCAGTTTCAATCGACGGAGGTTCTGACAAATACAGAAAGATTGTTGTTAGCTGTAGCGACAAAACTATAAATTTAATGGGCTCAACGATGGTTAATTTTTAGCGACTCATATTGTTTTCACTGAACACATATGACGGTTCAGAGCCACGTAAAGGAGTCCCCATAGGTCCAAATATTACAGCAGAGGTCAAAGCGATGAAATAATATGTCTTTCGTGAAAACGTTTCGTTTTAGCTTTCGATTACTGCTTGGACTTCAAACATCACGACGTTGATAATTCCAAGAAATTTGAATCACCCCTGAGCCACGATATGAGAGAAGCCATGACGCTACTTGTTGCGGTCCAGTCCACAATCCTCCATTTCATGTCCACCCAGCGTCAAATTGAAGTTTATTTTACCTGTGCATGTAATTAAATGGTTGTCTAACGCCTGTTAATTACTTGCAAGTTTGATAAGGATTTACATCAAGTTTATTAAACCTTTCCAACATAATTGAAGAAAAAGCTTTGTAATGTATAACCTACCTGTAAACAGAAGAGCGATTCTTAAGGGATCTCTGACTAATTTGCTACGAAAATTTCGTTTACATAATACTGAAGATTTCGTTGTTATCCATCATTAGGAGAAAATGCATGCTTCTTAAGAAGAACTCACTTACCAAATGATACGTAGGCAGGCTGTGTAGCTTTATTTAAAACAACCTGGCCAAAAAAGAAGGCCAGAATTTTAAAGAACAAAGAACGTTTTTCGTAATGCATCCTCTTGCTTACTAAAGAGATATGAATGACCTTCGCATGGTGAGAACGTGTACACAATAATTTCTTTGGTAAAGATTATTCTTGAATTATTTTATCGATTTTATTGATTTTATCCCTATATAGCTGTATCACCTGTCGCCAAATTTCGTTCTGGCGAATCAATGCCGGGGTATTGTACAACCTTCAAATTTTTCGTTTTTGATGGTTTGACTGAAAGCTGAAACTTTATCGTTTCGATGACGTTTTTTTTTTTCTGAAATGGTACAGAAGATAATATATGTCCTATATCTCAAAATAGAACCCAAAGTATTTTTTACATGTTGAGTTAATGATTAATGTAAGGGATTTTGTAATTTGTGAATTGTTATGGTTTTAAAAAGGAATATGAATAAATTTTTGTTCCTTCTGAAGTAATTTCTTCCAAAGAATCGACATAACAATAATGCTAACATTTGAACAAGATAAAAACTAAAAAATAGAAAGCAATAAATAAAGGGAACAGAAAATAAAAAATACGGTAAATAAAACGAATTTGACTTTATCTTTCTGACTCCTTGTAGTAGTACCTGATGTATGGCCTGACACGCGATCTTTGTTATTTTGCATGACACGCGATCTTTGTTATTTTGCATGAAAGTTTTTATGATAATGAAGGGAGATATTGCACTTTAATTTTTGGAACAAGTAACATGTTGTGGTCAAGAAGAAGGGTTTTGTGCAAACAATCGGATAAACATAGAAAACAGATAAAATCATGAAAGCAGCACATTTAAGATAATGAAGCCGTTTACACATAGTATAATTCTTTGAAGTTTCATTTAATATTGGAGCGTTGTGCCTGAGGTCAGAGCGGAAAAACATATTTTGGAATCTTTGTAGATTCATAAAATATTGGCACAAATAATTTCGCTGTACATCATGACTGTTACTGTTATTGTCATTATCATCTTCTCTATCATTAGTATGTTATTGATTTTCCAGGGGTTACTATTTCCAACAGGAACCATTCTCTGCTTCATTTTAAGAAAAGCTCTTTGATGCAAATGATTAACCATCTTGTTTTTGTTGAACTGAGACTTCAAGTCTGGAATAGCGGTTAAGCACCACTCTTCAGAGAAATTTCTTTATTTCTGTTCGGCAAAGAAAAACAAAAACAGTCATTTCATCAATAATTTAACTTAGTTGTAAGACCTTCTCGAAAGTTCTTGTATAACGAATAGGCTTAAAACAAGCAGAAATTAAAAGAGAAAAACAAAGTCAGCATGCTGCCAATTTTTTTCCTTTACTTACTATTGGTGGATTAAATGTTCCTACTTTTTTGTGATCATGATGCTTTGCTTTAGTTTTACTGTCACCGTTGTGAGCATTTATGATTTGAGGAATGTTACGTGAGGTGGCCAAAACAATAATTTCTTTTCCGAAATATGTGGCTTCTCATCCCTTTCTTTTTGGTATGTGTATAGTTCTTATATAATGAGAAGTAACATTTTAAATTAAGTTGCTGCCTTTAATTCTCAATATCTGTGTAAAACGGTTTTACTAAAAACACCTGCTCCAGTGTGAAGATTATTTCCCAACCTATTAGATGTTTTTCTAAGAGTTGTTCTTCTTCGCTCAGTTTCGAAATGGAATGAACTAGGTCAGCTTGTCAATATTATTTTTTTCAAATTTACTTCATTAGGAAAAGTCGATTTCATGGGATGCTCTGCAAGTTTATTTTCCTTTCATCTATCATCTTTCATCATCCTCGAGTAGGATGAAAAAAACACGCTGAAAATATATATTAATAGAGTAAAATTTACAACTTCTCGATGTTTCCTAAAGTCTCTTACGTCATAAGTAGAAGCTATAGAGATACTTTTTTTGCCCAATCCACATAAGACATCATTGATTTTTCCAGAAAAATTATTTGATTCAGCTAGGAAAAAGTCTGAGAGAGCCTGGTCAATTCATGTAAAAATCACATCTAAATCAATAACGAGGGTCTCGACGCGAGACCAACAGATAAACGTAACTATTTTCTAAAGAACACCTCATTCTTTTATCTGTCAATGGAGTAAGTGGGATTTGGTAAAAACCGGTGACTCAAGGTCATTGTATAAACAGATGGCGAAGCTTTTCGTGATTATTTTAACATCAAGTAGCACGAACACTACTATCCCACCTCCTGTGTGATATCAGAAAATGACCTCGTTCATGTCAGTTTCAGCCTGGCTTTATAGTCAGACTGCTAGTTTGGAAACTCATTGGGATGGGAAGGGGTGGTAAGGTGGAGAGAGAGTTTTCAAAAAACCATTATCAGTATTCCACAAAGGAACTTAAACAATATCGAGCCATATCTCCGGAGGGCAAAGTTTGATTTATCAATAAGAGATGAGGACATTGGAAAAGAAAATTCCTCCGCTCCTCTCCAACTAATGATTTTTCTTGCCTTTTAGGATCTCGTGTGTATACTGCGTACGAATGTTGCTCTCCATTGCGATTCATCTTGTCTTCCAGGTATGTAAAATAAGATTTTATTGAATCTATGAATTACATTCTCTTTTCCACACCATGACACTTTTGGTATAGAAGGGAGAGGAAAAACCTCACACACCTTGCTGAAAAAGAAAGATATGAAAACAGTGTGGAGATTATTTAGTATGATTAGGTCTTAAGAAAGCCATTTCAAACACAAAATAGACTGAACTTTTTCTCTCTGAGGAATAAAAAACCTTTTCACCATGTAAACAACTGAAGTGTTATACAAGGATTTCCAGCCGCGAGAAAAGCCGTTAAAAACACACGTGAAAAAATTAGATAATTTTTACGTGTGTTTAATATCGCCACTCAGCTGCTGACACGTCACTCGCCTTTCGCGCCATTCGGTCAGGTTTATGAATGAACGGCAAAGCCTTCACCGTTCTCAATCCAAGGTCGTTTGTAGGAATTTTTTCGGATTATGGCTGCTAAAACACCGAAAATCCGTATCACTTACAGACAGTGACGTTTTAAACTTACCTAGAGGGGAGAGAAATATTTCTTTTGTCGGTAAGGACCAATTCAATAACTAAGAATTTTGTGTATTGAAAACTAGGTTCATAGTTTGGTTTTGTAGTGATTCAACACATGTTTTCATCGTGAGTGCGCCAACACACTTTACGATCTTTATTCGGGGATTGTCGATCCTTTTATTTTAATTTATTAACAGAGTCGACTTTTCTTGACAGTAAAAGGGCTATTGTGTTTATATGATAAACAAAATAATACATGGTTGATTGTAGATGGGGAATTTCTTTTCTCGTGTTAAACGTGATGTCTCACGAGTGAGTGCGCGCTATGTATTATTCTTTGTTTACATCACTATGCCGCTAGTTCAAATTCTGTTGACGGCCACTGATTAGCCCCCCCACCGCAAGTTCTGCGCAACATAGCGACAAATTTAACTTTTGTAAATGTGTAGGCTCTCCAAAATGTTGATGGTGAAGTTCCTTAACCTATCTTTACTGACATTTCGACAGCTTCCGCAAGTCCACCAGAAAATGTAACAGCGTACAACACAAGTTCGACATCGTTAGAGATCACATGGAGTACTGTTCCAAAGGACCTTGAAAATGGGAGTATACTCGGCTACAGAATTTACCTTAGGAAAATAGATGAAATCGAGACCATCACAGTTAATATGTGTTCAGAGATGTCTAGTTTTTCTTTGAAAAATTTGGCAGTATTTACAAACTATTGCATTCAGATGTCTGCGTTTACCATGAGTAGTATTGGAAACAAGAGTGACTGCTTTTTTTGTTCCACTGATGAAGAGGGTAAGTAAGTAAGTTATAGTGGTTATACGTACGTTAGCTACTAGTTACATTATTAAAGATAATATTGCAAATAATGGTTTAAGTGTTTTAGTGACTCTTGAATCAATTTCCTGGTCATAAGCAGCATTCCAGGTCTGTATCTACCGATTGTGTATAGAGTTAATTCTGGGATAAAGAAACAAATGAACAGAATACAAAAGAATGCGATCTACACACCAAGCTAAATGGCGAAGAAAGATGTAATAGGATGACCGAGCGATCAAACGAACGAACAAAAAGAAAAGGGTAAAAATCAACCAGGAAAGAGAAACCCGAAAATATTTGCATGAGCCTCTGAACAGTCAGGTAGTGAGTAGGAATGCCGTAAGGATCACGTAGATAATATCAGTCATGGATGCTAAACTTATTTTAATTTTTTTTTTATTATTTAGCCCCAGGTCATCCTCCGGCCGACCTATCAGTGTTCAACACCAGTTCAACCTCCATCAAAGTTGAATGGAGTCCAGTCCCAGCAGAATTTCGTCGAGGAATTATCCTTGGATATCGTGTTTTTTTGACCAGGTCCGCACAAAACGGCCGTGGAAGACGAAAACGTGACTTGTTACCGAACGGAAACGTAATCTGCAGCGAGACGACAAACCTTACCACAGAATTTCAAGGTCTTGAAATGTATTCCAATTATTGTGTAGAGGCTGTCGCTTACAATCGGGTTGGAGAAAGTGGAAGGACAAACGTAACATGTACATTAACAGACGAAGCAGGTATTTTAAAATACATTTTTATCCCTTTGAAACACCTCATCGCAGGCCTGGAAGTGTAGCGAATTTGTAATCGTATTAAATTTTGGCAGTTTTCTTTTTAAGTACAAAATGTTAAATGGAGGAAACAAAGGGGGGGATGGGGCGGGGAGAGGTCCTGAACATATTTCACGCACGAATTTTAGAAAACTTCACGTGTCGGTTTCTCATTTGGACCTCAATCACGTGTCTCTTACATACCCTTTTCCCCCCTCAACGTGGAGTTATCATATTTGATTGATTGAATGATTAATTTTTAGTCCCCAGTCAAGCGCCCAGAAACCTAATTGGCCACAACACCAGCTCGACAAGTCTGGTTATTGGTTGGAGTTCAATTGAAGCGGAATTTATTCACGGAATACTCTTGGGTTACAAGATATTTTATCGAAGATCGATTGAGCCTGATACTGCTTCTCAAACTTTAAGCGTTAACGCAGAAACATTAAGGAAAGGAATCAATGGATTGCTAAAATATACGGAGTACTGCATCAAAGTAGCAGGCTTTACCAGAAAAGGAGATGGAAAATTCACAGACTGTTTGAACATTACCACAGCTCAGGACAGTAAGTGAAATGCAGTTAGACTAACGTCAGATTTTAATTTAAACCAATAACGAAATAAAAAAGGTTCAAAGCTTGATGAAGAAACCAAAAGGAGCTTTGAGTGGAAACAAGGGACGAGCGTAAAGGGTGGAGAAACCGTGCTCTATACAACGCATGACTTGTTTGTGCTCTTGCCTCTGATTGGTGTAGATGTGGCCAGGTTATCAAAGCAACGCACAAGGAAGTAAAAATAAACAAAGAAGGAGACTAGAACTTGACGTGATAGCGGATCTTGTTTGATTAATTTACCAGCTTTATTTAGGCCGCTTTATGTGATTCTGATTATATTAATCATTTAGAGCCAAGCTCTGCACCTCCCTCTGTTGTTGCGTCATCGTATGAAAGTCCACACAGAATAACATTGTCGTGGGAAGCTTTACCTCAAGGTGAGGTCAACGGAAGAATGACTGGCTACCAAGTGGAATATCAAATGATTGGTCAAGGAGGAGAACCTGTACCTATTTCGAAGATGTTTTCAGAGTTGGTACTACCGAACATGAAGTCTTTTGTACTAAACAACCAGTCAGTTTTTACCTCATTCAAGTTTAGGATTGCAGCCGTGACAGAAGCTGGTATAGGAGTTTTTAGTGAAGAAGTTATCGGAGGTATGTATATAATTTCCTGTTGGGCTTGAAGTGTTTCTTGTAAGATTTTTAGCTCGAATAAAAGACAAGACCAAACAACAACATCTACAGCAAAACAAAATGACTTTGCATTTCGCAAATTATGAGCGATATTCTGAGAAGCAAGAGGAGGAAAGAGTCAATAATGAATTTGGCAATTGCAATCTGTTGCAGAAACTTGTCGTTGCGAAAAAGGATTCTCAACAGCGTTGAAATCGACTGCCCTCGATGAAAATGGAGTGCTTCGTGAAATAATCACCGATGTTATCGAACAATCTTGTGGCCAATGTCGGGATTACGGCAAAACGCAACTTAGGATTGTAGAGAAAAATAACCCAGAATCAGAAGTGAGCTTCCCCGTCACGGCGAGTTCAGTACGAGTCAGTGAGTTCAGCAAATACATAGCTGTGATTCAAGTGCCAGGGATGTTGGTTATCAAACGACGAAATGATAACCCTGGGATGTACCAGAAAGTTTTAAAGTCGTCAGTCTTCGATAACTGGCCAATATTTGTTTTCGCTCTCTTGACTATGATACTTGCTGGGATGATCATTTGGATTCTTGTAAGTTTTGTCAGTTGCCTTGAGACATTTTGAATTCTTTTCGAGTATATAGTTTTATTTATGAAACGCTGGGGATTTTGGTACATTGAAGAAGGAAGGCAGATATTATAATCGACGTTTGTTAGAGCATTTAAATCCCGGGAGCACTACTTTCAATTTGCTCAGTACCTCACACCCAGTCTTGCTCCAAGAACTCTTCCAAAGTTAGCTTAAGAGTCTCGATCCAATTCAACCAAAGTTATTTAATGTAAACCCAACAAAAAGAGCAGAAAAAGCGAGGGCGTGGTTAGGGAAGGGGGGTGGCCTGGGCTGCCCGTTACGCCCCCCTCCCTTTTAAGACTTATTTTTAGTTAAACACGGTATGTTGGTCTACGTGAAAATCTGATGAGTACCCTCTGTTTGACATTGTGTGACTCCCCCCCCCCTATTGAAAAGTCTTGGCTACGCTCCAGTAGGGTGCATGTAGTTGAAGGTATTATAGGAATATTTTCATTGATATTTTATCAAACAACACCCAGATTGAATACTTTCCCCCACCTTAATAGACACAGTATCGTTTTGGGTGATTTGCTTTGTCTTAAATCTATATTCTTAGGACTTTAGTGAGAAAGGAGACTCCTTTCCGCGCTCGTTTATCAAAGGAGTAGCAGAAGGATTCTGGTGGTCCTTTATAACCATGACGACAGTTGGGTATGTCATCATAGATACCAGTTGTAATTACTATTTTGCAAGCAGTGTGTGGGACATCTTCTCCTATTAACCCACTTGTCTTCCTCTCCTCTGAGTAGGACAGTGTTCCCAGTAGCTTTAGATGTTTATATTAAGAGCTAGTATGTAGAAAGATAAGTTCTCATCGTTGTATATACAATTAATTTTCAAACTTGTACTTTATTCTTATGAAAGCTTGTTCCTTTTTCAGTTACGGAGACCGCTTCCCAAAAGGCGTTTTGGCAAAGGCATTTGCTATTCTGTGGTTTCTGGTTGGACTTATTATCTTCACATTTTTTGGCTCTGCGGTAACGGCACTGATGACAGTTACTGTAATCACAGGGGGCCCGACTTTAACGCAAACAAAAACAAAGGTAACAATAAATTGAAAATTCATATAATTATAGCTTCTCGATTTTAGTAGGAAACAAGAAAAACTATTGCATAACTTATTGTGTTGAAAGTCCGCTCCACATCTTTGCTATTCTTTTATTTGCCAGATTTATTGTAAATAATTGTGCAGTTTGAGCCAAACAGGGGAAATAATCAATGGTGTTCTTTCTGGGCGAGTGTAAGCACAGGGAATCATTTTCCTCAAAAATAAATTTAGGTTTTAAACACTACACACTATACTAAACGAAACTGGAAATGTCCACTATGTATTAACAGCAGCACATTCGCATAAGCAATATGTCTAAACTAGAATCTCTTATGTCATAAAAAGCATGATGCAAAATTCATATAAATGTCTATTCGCTGCAACAAAAAAGCTGAAAAGCCAATAGAAATGGCAAGCGTTATATTCCTATTTGGGATGTTAAAGAATCCACTTTTAACATTTCAGATCACCAGAATTTCGGCAAGACCTCTTTAATAAGAAAACGTTTATGTTACTTTGTTTTTAGGTATCAGCTGTTGCTAATTCTACTGAGTTCAACCTCGCAGCCAAAACTCTGAGCGGAAAATGGGAGATCGGTATGTCTTAACTCAACCACAAGTCTTTTATTAGACACTTTATTTTATTTGTATTCGTACTTATTTGATTAATACTGCGCTTCTTCGTCTTCTGCGTCACTCGTGGCGTAACAGGCTCTTAAACCGAAAATGAACCAAAGAATGATACTTACGTTTAATTATTACTACAGGAAAACCGTATGGCACCATTAAGGATCTTGTTAATGCACTACGATTTGGTAAAACTGACGCCATTTTTGTTGACATGTATTTGCCGACGAAGAGACCAGACTGGTTCAATGGTTCCTGGTATGAGGTGGAACACATTGTTGAAACTGATATGTCTTACGGAATTGTTCTCCGAGGACAAGCTATGAAACTGCACAGAGCTCTGAAAGATTTGATTAGACAGAATAATGTGCAATCCAAATATCTTACTTCTGGGGATGAAACTGCGGTAGGCTTAAAATCAGTTTCTTTTCCCTATATAGAGGAAAGAATCTCGAGCGACTCCTTTGTCATTTTTACTTGTAATACTGTTCTATCTTTCGTTCCTCGAATGGGTACTTTTTCTTCTGAAGATTTGGGTCGCAAGGCCGAGAGAAAATAAATTCTAATTTCATACAACCTCACCCAGTTGCGATTTAATCTGTTGACTCCTAAGAGTGACTGGCATCTAGTTTCTTCTTACAATATCATCCCTGAATCACACATTAAGGTCATGAAAATGAAGGAAATGATCACCAACTAAAGAAGCTCTTGGTTGTTGAAGACGTCCTCCCTGTCAGCACCTTAGTAAATGTAGAGCGACTTGATGAGGATGGTGTGCAAACTTCTGTCTGAAATAAACCTAGAATATATGATACCTCAACTGGAGAGCTAAAATTATTGAGGGAAGTTCACTGGTGAGCCCCCATTCCTGCAGGTTGATGGTTAGAGCTGTATCTCTCTCGTACAGGACAGTTACAATTGTAATGTAGTGTTCATGTGCCTTTGATATATACCAATAGGTCGTCGCACCTGTCCATTCCCATGATACAACGTTCTTTGAAGTCAACAGTCCTTTCTTCATTGTGACAATCCTTGCAATAATTTCCATGTTCAGTTGTGCCGTTGTCTGTGGGCTCATGTATGAGATTCTACGTCGAAGAAGGGAAAGGAAACGTGCAGGTGGGAAGTTTCGTATCTCGTAATGGACCAGTCACTGTTCGTCACCCTGGGGGGAGTATAATAAAGGGGGTATTAGAGAAACTTGATAGCCATTTGGGGGGAGGGAGGAAATCCTGGAGATTTTTGGGGGATCACTTTGTTTTCAGGAAAAACTGAGGGGGGAAAAGTCGTGGCCAACAGGGTATAATAAAGGGGTATTAAAGAAACTTGACAGCCATTTAACCTCCGATGGGGGGAAACAAGGAAATCCTGGAGAT